GCTGAGAAGTTCTGCTCCTCAACAGACAACTGTAAGGGGGCCGGGGATTTAGCTCAGTGGTTTCGTTGCCTGCCTTGCAAGCGCAAGAACCTGAGTTTGATCCCCAGTACCGAAAAAACAACAACAAAAAACCCCAGACAACTGTAAGGGACAAGAAAGGGCCTTTTTTTCTTTGTGGTTGTTTTTTTTTTTTAACAGATGGAAGAGAATCTTATAGATTAAAAGATCTTTTATATTAGTCTTTAGGCAAGAGTAGGCTGTAGTATCCATGCTTACTTGAGTGACAAAGTGCTCAAGAAATCCAATTTCATTTTTTTCTCTTTTGAACTAAAACAGACTCCATTTCCTTCTGCCTGAGAATCACCTACAGTTAGTCTGGTGAAGGGCCATCCCCATGTCCAGGCTCACGTGGCCCATGGGCCATCTTCGAGAAAGACCATTCTGGACCCGGCTCCCACAGGCAGCCCTCCTGCCTAGGAAACTCCTACCTGTCTCCAGGTTCAGATGGACTTGATTAGTGTATCAGTGCAGGCCTCTGCCCCTGCGCCCCCACCCCTGTGGCCGCTCTGGATGCCCCCTTACTCATTCATGCGTTCCGTCAACAAGGCTTGAGGACTTGCTGTGTGTCAGGGCCCGTGCATTAGCTGTCTCCTGCAGCCAATCCATGAGGAGACATCAGGGTTCCATTGGTCCCTTCTTAAGTCCAGTGAGACTCAGAATTAGTTACCTGTGTCCTTCCCAAGGACAAAGCATGTCTGTGGACAGAGCTCCTTTCCTAAGCCAATCTACCTAGAACAGTGTCTGATGGCCTCCCAGCCATCAGCACACCAGAAGTCAGTCAGTAGCCCCAGCTGTCTGGTCTAGAACATGCTATGCTTGATCTTGCCAACCACTCAGCTTCCACCTGGGCTCTGGGGATCATCCTTCACTCACCCCAGTGCCCCCTTCCAATGGCCCAGCCTAACTTTGGCACACCCACCCATCCAACCTTCTTCCCTTGGAAAACAGGTCTCTATCTTGTTCCTCCCAACCAGGTATCTCCTGCGAGCAAAACAAGGCCCTGCTACTGTGAAATGTAGCATGTCCCACAGGCTCCTGCCAATTATCTTTGCTAACTGAGCACTTCCTTTGAACACTTGGGAAACAAAACACACCTCAAGACATGAATAAAGCCTCCCAATGGGGCAGGTAGCTAACAAACTCAGCAGGGGTGTAAGTGCTAAACCAGATCTAATGCTCTCTGGAGAGGTTCCTTACTCCCTAGGCTCAGGACCGAACTCCTGAGGTCCATGATCCTTGCCCTGCCTGACCAGCTTCATGGCTGGGATGGATCACTGAGCCTCTCCTGCCTCAGCTTCCTGATTCACATAATGGGGGTGACACTAACGGGCTTCCCCTGGTATGTTGTTGCACTACCTTGGTTAACACACAAAAGGGCTTTAGAATGGAGTTTCAGACTGGGGGGTGCTTGGCCACACACTACGCCCAGTGGCTGCTGGCTGTCATTGTTACCATCATCATCATCATCATCATCATCATCTTTGTTATTGTTGTCATTATCACTGTCATCAGGACTTAAGAAAAAGGAGAGCAGGGGGAAGGATCTCGGATCAGCCTCAAAGCAGAGTGGGGCCTGGCAGTGTGCCTAGGACAACATCGTAGGCAGACATTGGCATGGGCCACTCGGCTTCTCATTGGCATTACAAAGATCTGCCAAGAAAGAGGAGTTGGATACCAGCCACACAGAAGGTCGCAGGTAGAAATACAGAAAGGGACTCAGTGATATTTACAAACCCAGGAAGCACAGAAATAGTTAAGGCCTGGCGTTCCTGTGAAGCTACAAGTCCGTTCTTTGGCCAAGGCTGGCTTTCTGGAACGGCGAGGCCTCATCCCTCAGCCCTTGTTCTCTCCCATCACCACCCCTCCCTCCAGTGCTTGGATGGGCTGCGTGGGCCTTAACAGCTCTGGAGACCTATTACGATCTATCAGGTGAAAGATAATGTACTTTATAAAGTGGGGTGGTGTGTGTGTGTGTGTGTGTGATTTCTGCCACTGACTCTAATCGCAACCGAGAATCATTTCAGTTGACTGAGTGCATAATCTGTGTGTGTGAAACTCCTCTAAGCATGGGTCTGCACGAGGGGGAAAGAGCCCCGTGGGACTCTCACAGCTCCGTGGAGTAAACAGTGTCCTGTTGTCAGTAGGCTGAGCGTGCTCCAGGACCCTGGCTCGGGAACCACCACCAGTCCGGAAGACAGTGGAACCTCAGGAACTGTCCTCAGTGACCCTTCCCTGGGGAAGACAGGGGTCCCAGGACCTTGCCCCCAACTAGCTGACATCCAACCAACCGGAGGGAAAAGGAGGACTCCAGCCTCATGCACACGCCTTCCTGTTCCTTCCCCAGCACACTGACGGGGTGCTGCCCAAAGGCAAGAAGCAGGAGTCAGGCAGCAGAGAGAAGTCACCCATGTGCCACCGCCTGCTGCCACAGTCACAGCCAGCCCTGTGGTCTTGAAGAAAAGTGTGGAGGCTGTAAAGGCTGAGTTAAAAGTTGCAACCTTAGCAAAGAGCTCCACCCTGCTCTGGAGACTGGCCCGTGCTGTCCTGGGGCAGACACCTCGGGGGGGGGGGGTCCCTGAAGTTGACTGAAAAACTGCTGGTTTTCAGTTAACACTAGCAGTTTCTTTCTTTCGTTCTCTTTTTTTTTTGGTACCAGATCGAACTCGGGTCCTTATGCTTACAAGGCAGGCGGCGGAACCACTGAGCTAAATCCCCGGCAACAATAGCAATTTCAAAACGGTACAGATAGCATGAGTGCACCCAGGCATAAACCTGTTGGCCATGACTACCTTTCAGAGAGTGGAGTAGGAATGAGTCCTTTTCCTAACTTTTTGAATGCCTAAAATTTTCTACAAGGAACATGCAAGAAATAAGAATATGAGATCATGGAAACCAAATATGAAGTCTCCATTCTGACCTTGTGTCCAGGTTCTAGTAACAAGACCCACGTCCAGGGAATGTGCAGCCAGTTCATGTCTGGATATGGACCGCATAGCATCTAGGGCTTTTATAGAAAAGTGAAGGGAAAGAGCATAGAGTTGAGAATCCGAAGCTACGTGAGCTCTGAGCAGCTGGGCCAGCACGCGAATGTAATGCTGAGGGGCAGAGGAAGCCGTGCCAGCCCTGTGTCTCCACAGCAAGGCAATTGTAGAAGAGGAATTGTTCTCCTTTGGGGCATGGAAGCCCTGAAGACTATGGGAGCCCAGAGCTGCCTTTTTTATTTTTGCAGCTGCTAAGGAAATATGTCTGAGGATGAAGCCAGCGATTGAAAACAGGCGGAGATGGAGAGGCCAAGTCTGGAGTGTTGCTTGAGCCCTCAGTGCAGGACTGAGGAAGCTAGCTCTAGCCCCTTTGCAAGTCTTGCTTTCTGACTCTTGCTCTTATGCCAGGGTGAGTTTGGGCGGGATTTCTACCCCTGAATAGAAACCTTTAGGGACCGTGGCCTGCCGTACGTCAGCTGCAGATGGGTTTTGTTGGTCCACACGGGATTAAAACTCTGAGGCAACGCTTTAAAATCTGGATTTCATCTACAACTCCAATTCTCAGTTTCTTTGGAAAAAACTCAGGAGACCTGGCAATAGGGCCTGTGCAGTTATCAGGAGCTGCAGATGGGCCGTCGTGGCTGGCAGGTGCCATAGCATGTCTCTGCAACAGGCCTTACCTCTGCCGCCAAGGCTGGGTGTCAGGCCGCATTTACATTTGAGCCTGCATGGGTTTGCTTCATTTTGTTTTCTTTTGGGATTGTTTTTTTTTTCCTAGTACAAGGGATTGAATTTAGGACCTTGCGCTTTTGAGGCAAGCACAGAGCCACTGAGCTAAATCTGCAGCCCTCATTTTGTTTGCTTAAGGGAGAAAAGTGTGTCTCTTTATGCCTCTGTTCACAGTAGCATGGTGGCCTGCAGGACGATGGCCCCCAGGGAAGAGGCCCACCTAGGCTTTATTGCCTGGTATGACCTGGCCATGGTGATGGATGCCGGGCTGAGTCATGTGACTTGCTTTAGCCAGTGAGGCAGCAGCACATGAATTTTAAACAAACAAAACCAGGCAGGCTTAGCCAGGTGTGGCGGTGCATGCCTATAATACTAGCACTCAGGAGGCTAAGTCAGGAGGACTCTGAGTTCTAGGCCAGTCTATACTACATAATGAAACCTTGTCTAAAAAACAAAACCAGACAAAATCCACAGTCTTGATGAGCACTTTCCTCTTTTTGAAGTCAGAACTCAGAGCTAGAAGGAGAGACCACATGGAGAGAGGGGTGAAGGAGCAAACAGGGAGACACTCAAAGAACGGGGGCGCACATGAGAAACCCCAGACACCAGCTTTAAAAAAGGCTGCCACTGCACATCTAGGACAAAGAGAGTGTAAAACCAATCATATTCATAAAAGCTACAATCCACTGAGTATAATAAACTAAGGATCTGTACAGACAAGAACAAAGGAGGGAGGGAGGGAGGGGGAGAGGGCTTGATGATAAAACAGAGATATTTGCAGAGTTTCAAAAGCCCTTTCCACAAAATGGCGGACATCACGGGTGAAGAACCACTTCTCAAGGGGGAAGCCTGGCAGGCACCACGTTCTTCAAGGGAGCAAAGCAAGCGCCATCAAACCGAAACCAAGTGCCAGGGCACGGCAAGCAGGGAGAAAGCAGTGCATTTTGTGCTAGTTAGGCCGAAGCCATCCAGCTGCCGGGCCAGGAGAAAGGCCAGCAAAGGGAACCCTGGGAGGAAAAGACAAGGGTTTAATAGTCCACAGCGCCCCCTACCCAGAGAACCAAACACATCCACACAACAGCCTACACGCTGTGCCTTAGAGCATTCATTACTCACCAGAGCCGAAGAGCAGAGACGACCCCAGCACCCGGGAGGCAGACAAGCCGGGGCCTGTCGTCCTCACGTTGCAATGCTGTTGGGCCACAGACAGGAATGAAGACCGGCACGTACCTCGGCATGGCTGAGCTGAGCACACCGTGCTGGTGAAACAAGCCGGTCACATGTGGCTCGGCATACGTGAAATGTCCCACGGAGGCAGACTTAGGCGGCCATTCCTGGTTCCCTGGGGCTGAGGCTGTGCGGGGGAGGAAGGAGGAAAAGTAGCTGGTAATGAATGTGTTTCTTTTGGAGGTGAAAACAACTTTTCAGAGTTACATGTGTAACTACAACCCTGGATGTACTAAGAGTTGCTGAATTGGATATATGTACAGTATGTGAATTACCTATCAGTAAAGTTCTTATGTACAATAGGAAGTGAGAAGTGGATTTAAAAAATCAAACCAATGAAGTACTGGAAAGAAAACAAACAAGCAGAACTATTGACCTACTCTGTCAAGTAGCTGGACTGAGGGAGCTGATATGAGTGGGTGTCTGCTGTGCACATTTTATCTCAGAGGTAGTGTATGGGGGTAGGTGGGGAGACAGGACTGTTGCAGTAGCCAGTCAAGGAAACATGAGGGTCAGAGCCACAGCAGGAAGGAAGGACTTAGGAGGTAATGGGACCTGTGTCCTGGGTGTCATGAGGGGGCAGGAGAGGGAGGGCGTGATCATGTTCAACTCGTGTGTTGAGCAGATTTCCGTGCTACCTCTGCTAGGGCTCCTGAAATCCATTCCCTGTACTGGTCACACTACAGTGCACATTCCTGCCCAGCACCGGAACCAGATGCCACTTGAGGTGACACAGAGCCTAAAACCCATGCTCTCGGTTCCTGGCTCTCTGCTCCTGGAGGTCAGAGGATTGGTTTGGCCTGGATGTCTGTGTTCCCCCAGATCCATATGTTGAAGTCCTGATCTCAGAAGTGATGGAGTTAGGAGGGATGGCTGGGCCTTGCAACTTGGAGCTGCCATAATGGGCTCAGTGCTCCTGGGAAAGGGACTCTGGAGCGCTGTCTGCCAATCGGGAGGAGCCCTCCCCAGATGCCAAGCCAGTTGGCCCTGCCATGGTGGATTTCCTGCTCCTCAGAATGGTGAGAAACAAATCTCTGTAGTGTGCATGCCCCAGGATCTTTGGTCCTAAGACAGGAGCGAGGCAAGAGGAGGCGTTAACCCCGGTGACCTCACCGTCCCAGGACACCCAGCTGCAGTCCGTCTCATCCCAGCAGACAAGTGCAGCCCAAGCGGCCTCATCGGGTCCCCACCAGGTGACTCAGGGACACAACAGCCACCAGATGCCCACCTTCAGACTGCTATGCTCATGAGCATTTCTGAGGATCAGCAACACTAGGAGGAACTTTCAGAACATCTGCATGGCACGTCAGGTGCTCACACACCACCACCAACACCCTGGCCCAAGCTGCCACCCACATCTTGCCTGGCTTGCTGTCAGGTCCCCTTGACCTCGTGGTTTCTGGTCTCTGATCACAGGAGCCCTCCTGAGTCCCTCATGGAAGCTCTGGACCACTGTACCCTGCCATTCTCCCTGATTCAGATCTCCATGCCCTTAGGATAAAATAAAAATCCCTTACCAAGGACCCCAGCCATGATCTGTTCCTTCCCGCCCTCACTGGCTCAGCAGGCTGCAGTATGCTGGCCCCCTTTGCACGGAAACTGCCACGCCCTTCCCACCACAAGGCCTTCGCTCTGGAAACTGGCAGTACTGGGTTGCCCACCTCACCCACCTCCAGCCACACAGACCGCCACTCTCCTCGCCTCGCCTCATCACCTCACTGCTCCATTCACAGCCCTGGTGTCTGCGGGCATCGTGGCGACTCAGGCATTTACGGCGCCTCTCCCAGCCAGAATCAAATCTCTGGGAGCCCAGGGACCCTTCCCTCCTTGTCCTCACCACTAACCAGGCCCTGGTGGGGAAACACAGCACCAAGGTGGAGCCCAATAAATACTTGTCAAATGAATGAAAAAACTAAGAGAAGAAAATGATTTTTTGTTTCTGTTTTGTGGTACTGGGGATTGAACCCAGGGCCTTCCCACTGAGCTACATCCTCAGCCCTTTTTATGCTTTATTTTGAGCTAAGTCTTGCTAAGTTCCCCAGGCAAAACTTGAAGCTGGTATCCTCCTGCCTTCGCTTCCCACAGTGCTGGGATTATGAGGAGATACGGACCACACCCAGCCAATGTTTTGTTCCCTTTGCTGACATACACTTGCTATAACTGACTGGCTGATATTGCTCTCCACTGACAGGAGTAAACCCCACAGAAACTGGAACCTTTTCCACCCTGGTCCCTGTGGTATCCCGACCTCCCCAGCAGGGCCAGACACATTAATAAATTGTTGCTAAATCTTGAATGACTATTGATGGAATTGTATCATTTTATCATATTCTCGAAAAGACGTACAGGTTTAAAAATAAGATATGCTTCAAAGATGGCCTTGATATATTTTTTTCTTTTGCTTAGCTTGATATCTTGGCCTATTCTCTGCCGCTCTAACAGAAAACAAAAGACTGGGTCACTTGGAAAAAAAAAAGAGGTTTGTGCGGTTCATGATTCTGAAGGCTGGAAATCCAAGGGCACAACCACAGCATCTGGCCAGGGCCTTTAGGCTGGGTCCTAAGATGGCAGACAGTGAAAGGGAACATGAGTCCCGTCAAGAGGGAAGCATAAGACCAGGGATTTAGCTCAGTGGTTCCACCGCCTGCCTCGCAAGCACAAGGTCCCGAGTTCAATCCCTGGTACCAAAAAAAAAAAAGAAAGAAAGAAAAAAAAAAAAGAGGGACGCACAAGGCAGACTTGCTTCTTTTTTTCTTTTTTTTCGTACAGAGGATCGAATTTGGGACCTTGTGCTTGCGAGGCAGTTGCAGCGCCACTGAGCTACATCCCCAGCCCGGGACTCACTTTTTTTTTTACCTCACACTCGAAATAGAAGGTGTGACTGAAAACAATGGTGAGTATTTACAATTATCTCACATTTGTTACAGTAACAGATACCCTGCCATGAATCCCCATCTCGCTTTGATCGCGTTCTTCCTGCCGTTCTTTCCACTCTGTAGCAGCTCTGGAGTCGTCTTCTAAGAGTGTCTCTAGTGGCGCTGTCACGGATGCCTCGATGTCCTAAACGGATTCATGCCGGTCTCTTTCAAGGTCATTTCGACGTTGGGGAAGAGCCAGGTGTCGCACGGTGCCAGATCGGGCTAACAGGGTGGATGAAGACTGCGTCGTGTTATGAGCCTGCCTTTCCGTTGGATGGCATTCGGCAGCTGCACTCTTTTTTGCGGGGAAGGAGGGTGCCGGGGATCAAACTCAGGACCTTGAGCTTGCAAGGCAGGCACAGTGCCCCTGAGCTAAGTCCCCGGCCCCACGTTCATCATATTTTAAAAATCACATTTCATAAAGACCTGAGCAAAGACGACCTCCAGAACTGCTCCCAAAAGTGGCCAGAACGATGGGATGAGTGTGTTCAAAGACACGGGGAGGATTCCGAAGAGGATCAGTGGCGATGTGGTATCGTAATAGATTACGTTTGTAAGCACTCACTGTGTATCGTATGGGTTTGTTTTTGGTACCAGGGATCAAACTCGGGTCCTTGTGCTTTCTAGGCAGGCGGTATTCACACACACCAACCTGGGCTACCTAGTGAGTTCAAGGCTAGCTGAACTACACAGCAAGATCTCATCTTCAAAAAGATGTAATTACCGTGACGTGTCATGTAAAAGTACACGATCCCAATGATGAATGTAACTGTACTGTATACCTAAAATGTGCCAAAAGATATAATTACTAAGACATCTTATAAGGCAAAATACATTTTATAATTAAGTATCTCACAAAATGATGAAAGACAAGATAAGCTAGCTTCAAAAGTATCCTCAACTAAATTAGTTCAAAGGCGTAATATTGCACTATGTGCTAGTTAAATAATATTTGAAATTTTCACTTTCAGATGAAATCTTTCAAGAATGCACACACACACAAAAAAAGACCCATATGATAACACACCAATAGTCCAAACTACTCAAGAGGCTAAGTAAGGCAGGAGAATCACATAAGCCTAAGAAGTTGAGGTCATCTTGGGCAACATAGTGAGACCCAGTCTCTTGAAATAAGCCAGGCACAGATGGACAAGGACTGTGATTCTGCCTTGGTAGGTACTTATTGTAGGTAAATTCGCACTTGTAGATATAGAACATATGGCAGAGGTCACCAGGTCTGAAGGGAGGGGGAGTAGGGGCTGTCATTTAATGGGCACTTCATTTCTGTCTGGAATCATGAAAAAGTTCTGGAAATGGATAGTGGTGATGATGAGACATCATGACTGTTCTGGATGCCACTGAATTGTATACTTAGCTAACATGCATCGAATGTTGACAGGGCTGCAACTCATTCTATGAGACCCAGTCACCCTGGTACCAAAACCAGACAAAGACATCACAAGGAAACAGAACTATAGGCCAATATCTCTTTTAAATATAATGTAACAATTCTCAACACAATACCAGCAAACTGAATCCAGAAACATATAAAAAGGAGCATACATCCTGACCGAACAAGACTTATCCCAGGAATCAAGTGGAATTCTTTATCCCAGCAATACCAGTATGGCTTCACATCCAATTAATCAATTAATGCAATACACCGTATCAACAGGATAAAGGACAAAAGCCACAATTATCTCAATGCACACAAAAAAGGCATTTGACAAATTCAAAGCAGTTCCATAAAGACAACCAGCAAACTACTGGTATAGAAGGGAACTCCCTCAACTCTATAAAGATTATTAGTGAGAAACCCATAGTTATACCACTCTTGGTGACAAAGGGCTGAAGGCTTTCCTTCTAAGATCCAGAATAAGATAAGGATGTCTGTTCTCCTCACTTCTAAACAACATTTTGCTGGAGGTTCTAGCCAGGGGACTTAGGCAATAAAAAGATATAAAGCATCCAGACTAGAAAGGAAAGGGTAAAACCATCTCTATTCATGGATGATGTAATCCTGAATATAGAAAAGACAGAAAGAGGGCCGAGGATTTAGCTCAGTGGTGCCAGCCTTGAAGGTGCAAGGTACTGAGTTGTTCGATCCCTGGTACCAAAAAAAAAAAAAAGAAAGAAAGAAAGAAAGAAGAAAAGAAAAGCAAGAAAGCAAGCAAGAAAGAAAGGGTCTAAGAAATTCTTGAAAACTAATAGGACTAAGGAAACAAGTTCAGCAATGATGCAGGATACAAGATCAGAACCAAAGATAGATAGTGGTGTGTAGTTCAGTGGTAGAGTGTTTACACAGCATGTATGAGGCCCTGGGTTTGTTTGATCTCCAGCAATGAAAAATATAAGTTGTACCTCTATGTTAGCAATGAAAAATCTGAAAAATAAAATGAAGAAAATTTCATTTATAATGGCATCAACAAGAATTAAATACCTGGGGGGCCGGGGATTTAGCTCAGCAGTTCGGTGGCCTGTCTCCCAAGCACAAGGACCCGAGTTTAATCCCTAGTACCAAAAAAAAAAAAAAGAATTAAATACCTGGGAGGACTTAACAACAACAACAAAAAAGCTACAAACATTGCTGAAAAATTAAATTCCCAAATAAACAAAAGGATAGCCAGGTTCATGCCTTGGAAGACTTGTTAGGTTGATGAAACTCTGCAAATTCATCTTTAGATTCAATGGAATCTGTATCATCGCTTCCCGGCCTTTTGGCTAAGATCAAGTGCGGAATCTGTATTAAAACTCCAGCTTCTATGAAAAAAGAGAGAGAAATAAATTTGGAAGACTCTTCCTGATTTTTTTTTTTTGTACTGGGGATCACAGGTGCGGTGCCACTGAGCTAAATCCCCAGCCCCTAATTCCCCAATTTACTGCAAAGACAATGTGGTACTCACATAAGAACAGAAATATCTATTTCTATTCAACTATCTATATCTATTCAACAGAATGGAACTAGGAGTACAGAAATAAAACCATACATTATCAATTGATTTTGATAAATGTGCCAAGGCAATTCAATAAGTGGAAATAGTTCCAATAATTTCCAACAATTGGTGCCAGGTCTAGGTGTTTATGTATAAGAGAATGAATTTAAACTATTACTGCACGACGTGTGCAAAGAAAAATGAATTCAAAATCAATCAAAATCTTATCTAATACTATTAAAAATTGACACAAAATGGATCAAAGACAAACCTATAAAAATTTTCAGAATAAAGATATGTCAGAGAAAAAGCTCATGACAGTGGAGTTAGGAGTGATTTAATGGACATAACCCTAAAAAATCCCACAGGCAATAAAAGAAAAAATTTGGTAAACTGGACTTCTTAAAAATTTTTAAATTCTGAGGGCCAGGGATTTGTCTCAGTGGTTCTGCCACCTACCTCACAAGCACAAGGACCTGAGTTTGATCCCTGGTACCACCAAAAAAAATTTTTTTTTTAAATTCTGTACATTTGTACCCTGGAAGTAGCAAAAACACTTGCAAATTAGATTGCTGATATAAAGAAATACTACAACTCAAAAACAAGAACAACAACAAAACACGAAGTGGGGTTGACTACTGCTCATCTGGTCTCCCTTCGGGTCTCTCATGCAGTTAGTCAGGCGGCACTGGGGACCAACACATTGTAATGACTTCACTCACGAGTCTGATGCCTTGGCCAGGATCACTGGGGTGTTGGAGTACGGGGTGTTCCCATTGCTGGGTGTTCCAGTTGAAGGCTCAATCCCCCCACCCCATTATGGCTTGTGTCTAGATGTCCCCTCAAAGCCTCATGCAGTCAGAGGTGGGGTTTTTTCACATATAAGGTTCAGAAAGAGCCGTGGTGGTCCCTTGTTGCTTTGCTACCTTCTGCCCACCATGAACTGTTTCTCCTCTGTGATTCCCCTCTGCCATCCACCCAGCCTTGGAGCCAGCCAATCATGGACTGAAATATCCACCTGTATGTATGCATCCAAAGACAACAGTCATGAGATGCCTGTGTATAAATAGATATAAGGAAACGGTGAATTCTTTTCTTTAAAAAAAAAGAAATTTCATAAAAATAATAATCAGAGAATAACAATAGTTAATATACTGTGTAGCATAATCTTGAAAGAATGGCCAAAATGTTACTCAGGGTCCACAAGTTATAGACCAAAAAGAAACAGAGAATAGCACAAAATTTTCTACAAACTGTGAGCTAAATAAAGCTTCCCCCCTTTAACTTTGGGTGTCAGGTATTTTGTCTCAGCAACGAAAGAAAAGTAACTATGACACTGTTTCCTCCTCTCTGTCACTCGCCCTACTCATGTAGCCTCAAGGTGTCTCCATATGGTCTCTCTGGGCAGTCTGTCCAGAGAGATAGGTGGATCTCTTATAGGGCTCAGGGCTCACAAAAGTGCAGAAAATACCTTTTAGGCTTAGACCTAAGGCTCGGTGTCCCTAGGACCACATTGTATTAAAGCGAGTCACAAGGCCTGTGGGAAGGGGCCATACGAGGCCATGAATACCAGGATGTGGGTCCCACAGGGCCATCACCAAGAGGAGATTCCTGTGCGGCTTTGACGTCGGTGCCTTCATCTTTTGCTTTACTGCATTCCATTCCAGCCAAACTGGTCTCAACTTAAGCAAAAACATACACAGACAGCCAAGTACTTTTCACCACAAAAGTAAATTGTTGTAGGTATGTTGGCACAGGCCCATAACTCCAGCTACTCAGGGAGTTGAGGCAGAAAGATTGCAAATTTAAAGCCAGCCTGGGAAGTTTACTGAGACCCTGTATCAAAATAAAATGAAGGGCTGGGATGTAGCTCAGTGGTAGAGCCCTTGCCTAGTATGTGTGAGATCCTGCATTCTATCCACAGCATCATATTAAAAAAAAAAAAAAAAGGTCGTAAACCTCTGCTTGACGTGGCAAATGCCACCCCAAGAAGCTCTAACCTGGCACTCATTATGGCTCTGCCGTTGGGCTGCCACGGCCACATCACTCTGTGAACCTCAGTTTAGCCCCTGGAAGACAGGAGAAGACAGCAAGCTGTACATGTTGTGGTTCCAAGATCCCTGCCAGGCCCAGAATCCATGGATGCTCCTTAACTCAATCTCCCACCAACAGTTGGTCAAATCCGTGGATGCAAAAATGAGTTCTGGATTTGGAGAACCGATGGTACACTATTTCCCTACTTCCTAAGATTGTTATAACATTCAATAAAATAGCACATACAAAGGGCCTTTGGGAAAGCTGGGGACACTACGTAGGTGGACACTTTGTGAATACGAAGTATGTGAACATTTTAGCTCTGCCTCTTCCTTTTTTAGTCCCCTTCCCTGGAAAATCTGGCCATCTAGAAGAATGGTGATTTAAGAAACCGTCATGTCACTATAAATACACAAACAAGCTCATACCAAGGGACTCAGTAAGGGTCTTCTATCCTGGTGGCTGTTCATTTTTTCCAAGCTCTCTTTCCCCCTGAATGAGTGAATAAATATTCAACTTCTTCCTTGGTTTGGGCTTCATGACTCAGTGGGGAGTGTGGCCGGACTATCTCCAAAGGGAGATTGTTTTGGTGAGCCGTACTCTATCAGCAGTTACTGTGGTAATTACCTCAGGGACATCCTAGTTAAAAGTTCTGGTAGTTCTAAATTCGGGCTACCCAACAAAAATACTTATTCAGGACACAGTCATTGCAAAGGCTTAGCAGAACAACATCTCAGGTCATACAAAATGTACTCTGAATGTATCCAAAGACAATAGTCATAAGATGCCTGTGTGTAAAAAGATATACGGAAACCGTGAATTCTTTTTTTGTTTGAAAAAATAAAATGAAATTTTCTAAAAGTAATAATTAGAGAATAACAATACTTAACATACTGTGTAGCATAATCTTAAAAGAATGCAGGCCAGGCGTGGTGTCACACGCCTGTAATCCCAGCACTCGGGAGGCTGAGGCAGGAGGATTGCTGGGAGTTCGAGACCAGCCTGGGCTACATAGTGAGTTCCAGGTAAGACTCAACTACATAGTGAGACCCTGTCTCAAAAAACCAAAATGAAAAAAAAAGAAAAAAAAAAAGAACAGGCAGAATGTTACTCAGAGTACACACGTTATATACAAAAAAGAAACATAATACGGACAATAGCACAGAATTTTCTTTTCAATGAACTGAGAGAAATTAAAAGTGTAAATGAAACAAACTAGCATATATATTGAAATATTTTTGAAACAACATAACAGAGAATTTGGGGAATTGTTTGAATGTCTCCTTCGTATTTCTCTTTCATTTTGCTCTGTGTTTATATGTGTACATATGTTAAGTCTCTCATATAAGAGAAACCATGTGAAGCTGAGGATGTAGCTCAGAGGCCCAGCACCTGGCAACATGAGGCCCTGAGTTTGATTCCCAGTACCAAAATAATAATAAAATAATAATAATAATGATGATGATGATGATGCAATATTCAAGCATGTGTGTCTGACTTATTTCACTTAACACTGTTCTCAAGTTGCATCCATCTGTAAACTAGAAGAACCACTATGGAAATCAGTGTGGAGATTCCTCAAAAAAAATTGAAAAATAGAAATTCCATTAGATCTGGCTATGTCCCTTCCAGGTATCTCCCCCAAAGAGTTAAAGTCGTCGCATTACAGGGACACGTGTATACTCATGTTTATAGCAGCACAATTTGTGATACTTTGGAAACAATGTATATGTTCGGTAATAGCCAAGGCTAAAGAAACTATGAATTCTTGCCAACAGTTATATTCCATGACCACAGATTTCCTGCCCTTGGGATGGTTGATACAATTGAGTTTTGATATAACTTCTGAAAATACCTGTCTCCACAATTCAAGACCCCCAAGAGGTGGTGGTATCCAGCTGTAGTCCCAGCATGTGGAAGCCTGAAGCAGGAGGGTTGCCATGAGTTCAAGGCCAGCCTGAACTATACAGTGAGACCCTGTCTCAAAAAAAAAAAAAAAAAAAGAACCCCAAAAGACAGATGTGGAAAGAGATGCGATGGATGTTGATGTGTGGTGACATTCTGAGAATCCAAGAAAGTTCCCATCGTTATGCAGGGTTATTTCCTGGTGGTAGAATGCGAAACTGCTCCCCACCGAAGCAGCAATCCAGTTAGTAGGTGAGCTGCCAAATTCATCGCCTTTCACGTAATGGTCCAGGGTCTCATGACTCAGTGCCCCTTGTCACTCTTCTTAGACTGCTGGGTAAGCAGTACAGAATCTGGCCTTTGGCTGGTACAGGAGGCAAAAGAAAATGTTCTCAGAGGAACCCAGACACAGGGGAAATTAGGTTGCTCTCCAAGGTTGACCAGAATTCTCGGACAATGATATATTAACAACTTGCTGGAGTCCTCGGGGAATTTCCATAAATGTAAGAATCAAGATATGAAATCACCTCAAAATCCAACCAGGAAATGCAGGCAGTGGGGTGCTGGGGAATGTTTAACAACTGGCTCTCTGAGGAAAAAGTCCTG